CTACCTAGTTTGAATCATTATGCACATTACTTTCATGTCTCTTTGTGATTCCTTGGGCTTTTTAGTGCCTGCACTTACTGTTTTTAATGGCCAGATAGTGTTCTTTTCTGTGGATACTCAATTACTGTCCCCTCAGAGTGAAACTGTCAGAGGTTAATTTAGCAACGTTGCCTTTTCGATGAGACCTACCTCGTTATTCTGTCAAAGATTGCACCTCTCCACACACTATATTCTCTCTCCCTGGTCATTTCTCTCTCTGACCCTAGCATCGTCAAGCACACTGTTTATTTATTTACCTTCCTGCCTTTACTGTGCCTGTACTAGTACATGGGAAATGTAGGCATTTCATGGACATTTGTTGAGTGAATAGTAGATGTTCTTGTTAGAAGTTGGTTTGTGGAGGCACTTAGCATATCTCACCCTGTAAGGGAGCTGGTGTTGGCCCATTTTACACCATGAATTGAAATTAAGCTGAAAGTTGTGATGTTCTCAGGATCAGCTAAGTTAGTGACAGAGCTGGGTTTTAAATCCCACAGCTTTTCCACATCTATTGCTTTTTCCCCTCAATCACCACTCTTACTGAGAGATCTTTAGTGTTCTGTGTGTGTACTTTTTAGTGAAATAGAAAATATAACATGTTTTAAACTTGGATGTTAGATATACCAAAGTAAAAACCATCTCAGTGGGATCTTTAAAATAAAATTTTCTTTTTCTTGGAATGAAGATGATTTTATAATTTGTATGTTTTGATACTTTGCTCTCAAATGCTTCATTTATCCTAACACATGAAAGTAAATAATTTATAGTTGAATGCAGATTGACATTAGGTATGAGTATATCCCTTCATATTGCTGAAATCAGAGATGTGGTTGTGTTTCCTTTTTTTAAGGTGTGTGTAAGTAACTTCCTTGCTGGAAATCCTTGCATTTGGAGAAGAGTGACTGGAGATTCCAGCACCTTATCCTCTTACCCATGTCTGTACTGATGAAGACAGATTTGCTCACCTCTGCTTTCCTGTGTGTCTGACTTTATCCGTTTTCCTGTTTGATGACACCGGTCTTCCTTAGCTCCAGTTTTGGTTGCCTGTACATCCCTTTGCCATACTTTGGAAGCCTCTCCTGCTTAACTGCTGAGTCTTCATTCCTGGTGTTTTTGATGAGGGTACGTGGTGGAAGCTCTGTGGGGCCTTCTTTGCACTTGCCCGCATGCTGTTTGTGAGGAGCTTCCTTAGCTGATCACAGTGCTTGGCAAGGTTTAAGATCCCTTCCTGCTGCACAGTACCACAGGGCCGGGTGGGACGATGTCCAGATGCTCAGTGGCCACATCAGGTTTTAGATCCACAAAGTGCTGTTTGTGTTTTGTGGTGATGGAGGCAGTTCTGTGTCCTCGCGAAGCAGCTGTACTGCTGGATGTGCGCCGGCTGCGGCTCCCGAGAGCCCGAGCCGAGCACAGGGCCTGGGGAGGGGAGTGTGGCCTGGCGAACCACAGGAGCAGCTTTTCCTCCGGCTTCTCTGAGCTCAACTGGTCATAGCGGATAAAGGCGAAAAGAGATTCCAGAATAAAAAGTTTTGCTTTTCTAAATACCAACACTGGGAATGAAAAATAATCCCAGTTCCCCATCCTTGACACATGATTGTCTCATTTTTCTTCTTTTCTGTTTTGGGCCATTATTCCCTATTCAATTTTTGCATAATTAAATTTATTATGTGGTGTTGGTTTTGTGTCTCGCTTATTACTTGGGGCATTATTTCATGTGCATTTTTCCATGTGACCTCCTATTGCTCTGAACAATGGTTTCTTTAGCTTCTCTGAAGACTACTGGTTTTGAGTGATTTGATTTCCCTATGGGCTTGGGGTTGTGGAACTTCTTGGATCTGTGGCTTTATAGTTTTCTTAAAGTTTAGGAAATTTTTGGCCATTGTTTTTTCAAATATTTTTTCCTGCCCCTGTCCACTACTTTTTCTTCCTGGGGGATTCTAATTTCCTGCATATTTGGTTGCTTAAAGTTGTCCTATAGCTCACTGAAACTCCTTTAGTTTTATGATTGTTTTATCTCTGCTTTTCATTTTATATAGTTTCCATTGCTGTGTCTTCAAGTTCTCTAATCTTTTCTTCTGCAGTGCCTAATCTTATTGTTAATCCCATCTAGTGTATTTGTCATCACTGACATTATAGTTTTTAATCTCTGAAAGCTGATTTGGGTCTTGTTTTATATCTCCTGTATCTCTACTTAACTTTTTGAGCACATAGAATACAGTTGTAATAACTTTTAATGTCATTGTCTAGTTGTGAAACCTCGTTAAGTGCCAGGCATTTTTGTATTCCAGATCTTCACCTTTACTCTGAGATAGTGACACACCGTGGGAAGTTCCCTCTTGGGTCCGGCCTCTGTGGTGTTGGGCAGACTGGAGCAGCGCTTGGTGGAGGGCCAGTTATCCCTGCCCCCGAGGCAGGACATCTTCAGGCGCTCTGCCCGCTGCCCTGTTGGTTGTGGTTTTCCCCAGTGCGGCTGGGGGAACAGTGGTGTGCCCAGCCTTGGGTGAGCAGCAGGCATGGCCCCGTCTGTGCGTTCCTGCTAATTCTTCCCTGCCTTGGGGAACTCCCTCGCACACAGGGGACAGTCGGCCCCTTGCTGAATGCTTGGGGACCTCCCCAGGTCGCAAGCACGCTCTTTTCTGGCTTTCTCTCCTATGGACCCTGTCTCATTTTCCACAGGCCCTTGGCATCTCTTTAAACCAGGGGCTCCTAGGCTCTGCTCTGTCCCTCTGCCATGCCATGATGTGGAAGTCTCCCAGAGTGGTGAGCCAGGGCAGGTGTAGGGCTCACCTCGTTCATTTCCTGTCTCAGGGGTCCCTGTTCTGCAGGACCTGACGTTCAGTGTCTTGGAGCCCGCTCTCACACAGTGGGTGGGTGAATCTGGTACCTCTACCCTTTTGACCAGAAGTCTCTCTGTGCTACATCATATATTAGTATTTGTGCCTGGACATGTTTCCCTTCCCTCCCAGAAGGCCACTAACAGTGTCCTTTTCTCACCTGTTTTCAGCACTTACCGAAGTTTCACATGCATGCTACACATTCCACACGTTTGTTAAGAGAGATGGTCCTTTGTTGGACAGATTGTGATCTGAAAGGCTCTACTTGTAATTCTTCCCGTTAGCATGTATTAGATTTCTGCAATGGGCTACTAAGCCCAAAAAGTGACGCATAGTAAATTCAGCCCTGCAGAGGACAACCTTGGACACTGACAGTCTAATTTGAGTAAATCAGAATTTTAAAAATACCTGGCCCCTGTGTATTTGAAGCTAACAGAAGTCTGCTGCTTTTTAGCGTGGGAGATTATAGCAAACAAACACAGTGAGAGGCATTTTCAGTCTGATTGGTGTGATGTTCAGCCAGGCTGGTAGAAGCAGTGACTGGTGACCCGGTGGGCAGTGAGGAGGGTTGCCGTGAAAGCTGAGTGCCTGGACTGGTGATGTTCTGAGAGCTCATGTCCTCATCCTCTTGATCCTCCAAGAGGACATCAGATACCTTAGGTCAATTTTTAGGATGGTAAAAGTAGCTTGTGAGACTGGTCCTGCCAAGGCAGACATTTTGGTCATTTTTGCAGATTGCTGTAAGCCACTTCTAGGACTTGCTGTAGTCAATCACGCCAGTACATTGTGGGTTTCGTTCAGCTGCACGTCTGTAAAGCTTTCAGTCCCCTGTACTTGCTGAGTCCCTGCCCGAGGGCAAGCTGGGAGCAGGCGCCTGCCCGGCGCACACCTAGTCCCTGCCAAAAGGCAGCTGCACAGGTGTCGGGGATTTCACTGACTTCCTGCACACAAAGAAGGAAGCCTTCTTGAGTTCCCTGTTGCGTTCACTGGTTCACACAGTCTGAAAAGAAGCCCTCTGTGTTCTGCATCGGGTCCACAGCAGTGTCAGGTCCTCAGGGAGTCACATACCTCAGCGTCTTCCTGCTTCTCCCCACAGTGTGTGGAAGAGATCCTCGGGTACCTGAAGGCCTGCTTCAGTAGAGAACCCACAATGGCCACTGTGTGTGTTCAGCAGGTAAGAAACTCCTTTCCTGTCCTTTCTCTTAAGCCCTTTACTGCAGACACGGTGACATCATGCCACGTGTCATTTAGAAGGTGGTGCTGGCGGTGAGTCTGCAGGCCCCGTCTCCCGCTTTGCTGCCCTATTATGGGGCCCAAGCAGGCCCTGCCTGTCCAGGAGGAGGAGACCCGTTGCTGTCAGGGGCAGGAGGTGTTCAAGTGCTGCTGGGCTCTTACCACTCCCCGTTGTCTCAGTGTCCCTGCGGGGTGCGTAAGAAGGCCCCATCCCATTGAGGACCAGAGAGAAGCCACCAGGGCCCTTACTGCTGGCAGGAGCAGCCCTTCACGGCAGCAGCCTCATGGGTATTGATTAGTTCACAGTAAGACTCACCATCTGTTTTTGCTAACATATCCAGCTAGTTTGAGGTGGATTGATACTATGCAGGAGGTGCTGAAAGCAGGTGGTGTCCATGCTGCCCTGAGGCAGATGTTGAAGGTTTCAACTCTTTCACTCTAGTTGTTGAAGACACTCTTTGGGACAAATTTGGCCTCCCAGTTCGATGGCTTATCTTCTAACCCTGGCAAGTCTCAAGGCCGAGCACAGCGCCTCGGCTCGTCCAGCGTGAGACCAGGCTTGTACCACTACTGCTTCATGGCTCCGTATACCCACTTCACACAGGCCCTAGCCGATGCCAGCCTGAGGAACATGGTGCAGGCGGAGCAGGACCACGACACCTCAGGGTAACCTTCTGCCTGTCCTGGCTGTGGCAGGGGCCTCAGGGCTGCGTCTTTGGTAGAAACACAAAAAATCTGCAAAAATTAAAAGTAAATTAGCCAGCATCTTCAAAAGTCTAGTCTGTTCAAAGAATTCTAGGAAATATGGTTGCTACAAAGAGCCCGAAGGTCTGGCCCTGCTTTCAGAGAAGTGGGTGGTCTAGAGAGTGAGGTGGAATCTGGGGGGTTGCACAGTCTCAGGGGGCTGGGCCAGAGGACCCCCCGTGAGGCACCTGTCCCCTTGCCAGTGGCACTGACAGCAACTGAGGTGATGTCCTTAGGTGCTAAGAGCACTTTACTGGTTCCCAGTGCTCGTGAGATGTTATCCGTCAGAGTAGTGTGGAATGTGTTGGTGGCCGGCCCTTTTTGGGTCTATAACTGAGTGAAAGTACATGGCCAATAATGTTTGTGTTTGAAGGGCACAGGGGAGTTGAGTAGTATTACTTGTGCTTTGGAATTTTGGCTGAAAGTTTCTTTTCACTTAAATTTATGGCTGTGTTTTTCATAATTGGAATATAGTAGCCATTTCTTAAGTCGCCGTGATCACAGCAGGTGTCTGAGCTGCTACTCTGCGCAAGAACAATAGAATCACTTGTTTTTCCTTTTATAGATGTGGTGATAAAATACTAGAGTCAGGAACCAAGAAAAATGCCATTGTTCTGGGCTTTCCTTGGTGACATTCTTACTATGCAACCAAGTCTCAGGAATGTCTTTCTAAATACTCTGTCTAATAATATGAGATAAAAAGAATTTTTTAAAGTGTGTGGATGTGATTATATTATTGCCACTTATTTTTATGTGTGATTGATGTAAATATTTAAAGAAATTTTTTTCAAGAAAATCAAGTGGTATCTGCTAAGTCATGGGATCTTTCCAAAGACTGTCATCTTCTAGCCCCAGTGCAGGTTGGGCTGAGGAGTAAGTTCCCTGAAGAGAGGAAAGCTCGGCCTCGAGTAGCCTGCTGCAGGCGGCAGGGCTTGGGGGCTGTCAGTCAGTGCAACTCTTTGTGTCTTCGCCGAGAGAGTGTGAGAGCGCCACGCTGAGTGGCTCTTGGAGTCCTGAGAGACTCTGAGGTGTTTTGATGGGTGAAGAGGAGCTGGTCTGACGGGACTAGCGGAGCGCACAGGCGAGCGCTAGGTGTTCTCTGCTTGCCTTCCTTCCTGTCGGGCAGGTGGTTCGACGTACTCCAGAAGGTGTCCACGCAGCTGAAGACAAACCTCACGAGCGTCACTAAGAACCGTGCAGATAAAGTAAGTGGGAGATGGCCAGGGAGCACGTGGCTCAGTGCCAGAAGGGAAACCTGCCGGACGGACGCTGTCCGGGCTGGCTGCCTGCAGCTTTCAGTTGAAGATTCACTCAGATTCTTTTTTTTTTTGTAGAATGCTATTCACAACCACATCCGTTTATTTGAGCCCCTCGTTATAAAAGCTTTAAAGCAGTACACGACAACCACCTCCGTGCAGCTGCAGAAACAGGTGTTAGATTTGCTGGCCCAGCTGGTCCAGTTACGGGTTAATTACTGTCTCCTGGATTCAGACCAGGTTTGTCACCTTTATCCTCTACCATCCCTGTTCAGAATCTAAGAAAAATTAGCCAAACAAGACATCGGACTCTACCTTACAGAAACATGCAGTCTGTCTTTCCCCCAGTTGCTGCCCCCCATCTTTCTCATGCATAGGCTGGTGCAGAATACTGCAGCGCAGGGGCCTCTGGGTCCCTGCCCCAAACCCGCCGGTCTGCCTTAGGCCGTCTCAGCATTAGCCTACACACACTCGCAAAAGTTTTTCCTGTCTACTCCCCCTCCCCCACCAAGATGAGTTTGAATTTAAATTGTAAGATGTGATTGAGGTTCATTGTTTTGCAGGACATTTTTGTGAAATCTGGGCACATATTTTAAGCAGATTATGAATTGTAGTGCTCAGTTTCAAGCAAAGTTAGCTCACCTTTTTAAAAAGGAATGGAATGTAACAGAACAGTAGCTGATAGCTGTCCGGATCCTCACTGAGTGGCTGGCTGGCTGGCCTGGCAGGGTGCCCACTTCACCAGGTGGCACCCTCAGCTGCCTGCCTCCCTCAGGTGGGAGCTATGGTGATGTGATTCTGGTGGTGCAGCCCTTAGTGATGCAGGTTCTCTCAAAACCAGAGCCATGCCAGCCAAGTTCACTACAGATAAAGTTGTCTTTAGGTCATCAAATGTGACTGTCATTACTGGACACTGATCTTGGGCTGCTTTCCTGTGTGAGGTAGGAAATTATTGGAGATAGAAACATATCCTTCTAGACATAAATGTATCTATAGATGCTGTCCACATTGTCACTCACCTTAGAGGGTCTGTTTCCTGGAGAAATGAAACACGTACAAGACGCCGATTTCCCCACAGATGGCCCACCTACTGATGACAGAGGTCTTGAGTGAGGGTGGGCCTCTGGGGCAGCCAGACCTTTTCAGTGTCCCTTATTTTGCTCAGGTCATCAGGAGAACATCGTCCTTTCTTCAGGGCATCCCTGGGCACAGCTGGGGGCATCATTCCCTCTCCCGACTCAGGGCCAGATGGGGAGAGGCCCTCACCTGAGGCCTTGGGTGGTGGCAGCGGAGAGGGCCCCGCACAAAGGGTGCGTGGTGGGGGCGTGCGGAGTGAGGAGGGCTCCGGGGGCGCTGGATTCCACCTGTTGTGGTGAGAACACGTCAGAGACTGCGGACCACCTTTTCCTCAGCACTGCTCTGTTCTGACCCGTCGACAGGGAGACCCTGACTTCCTCTCATGGCGGTAGTGGACTGGCCTCTCTGAGGGCTGTCTGTCATAGACAAAGAAGACGCACTCAAGAATTGTCACGCTGATTTGACTCAACAGATTCCTTCTTCAGTCTTCCCCCATAGAGCCTTTTCTCAAGAATGGAGTTATTTTGTTACTTTCTCTTATCTTTCTAAAATCTTGACCTGGTACTTGAACATTGAGAGGGCAGCCTCAGAGGTGCCACACTATGCTTGTCTCTGTAGACACACTGCGTTCACTGGGAGCTTGTGTGGCCCTCAGCCCAGCTCTCTGCCTCACCGCACCCAGCTGACCCCAGCACCTCTCGCCTGGCAGCAGGCTTTTCATGCTCTGACTCTGACGTCCCACCCATTCTGACTTGCTGTTGTCACTTGGTGCCCTGTCTCCCTGGTTCTTAGGGTTTGACACGATAGTTTCTGTGAACACAGAAGACTAGGACAGGCAGACCATTCGGCTCAACTCAGACAACGGCCTCATGAGCCCCGGCTGGGTGTCTGTGCCACGCCCTGCACCAGGAGCTCACAGCGCTGCAGGTGTGGAGAGCTTGTGGGTGCTCAGGAAAAGGGATGGAGCAAAACTGGCTGGAACCCAGTACTCACGTGCTGCCCTGCTCGCCAGGCCCTCTTGCCTTTCAGCTTCCCCCGGGGTCAGGCACCTGCGAATGTCGGGTGGAGAGGGGGAGAAGACGGGCTAACCTGGGCATCTTACTGCTGAGCCAGATTCAGGAAACCTGTGCTGCTCGAGGCACTGTGAACAGGGACAGACGAGTTCCCAGATGGGTCTAGGTATTGCTCTTGTCTCCTGGAGGTTGTTATTTGTTCTTCGAAGGAGTTGCATCTCACTGTCCAGGAAATGTGTATAAACAGTTTCTGTAAGTGTCTTGAAATTGTCTAGTTTGACAGCAGAATACTGTCATGTTTGAGTTCTTGTATACAAACTGGCTTTTCTACTGTCAGGAAACTTGTTAAAAATTTACACAAGTCAGTAGGAAGACAAGTAACCTAGTTTGCATATTAATTGTTAATGTGAAAATTTTATTTTCCTGCCTGTAGGTGTTTATTGGATTTGTGCTGAAGCAGTTTGAATATATTGAAGTAGGCCAATTCAGGTAATAGCATTTTGTTATTTTAGATCTCTTGTTCTTACTATGTACTTATGTGTAATATTAGATTATTAAGATGAACATTTACTTCAAAGGATTGTTAGGCATTATTGTAAAAGTAGAATTCTGATTAACATGCTGTACATTTTTGTTTCTCCTGAAAATTAGTTAAGTATCAAGATTTATTTAAAAGGAGCTTTACATCTGGGAATTATGTATGTGTTCTGATTTCACATTTCAAAGCAGTTAATTATGATAATAGATTACTAGATGGAATCTCAGCCCATGGAACTCCAGTTTTGTTACGCTTCTTACAGAAAACGTTTTTTAGGAGTTTACTCTCAGAAGTTTAGCTGTGGTTATCTTTAGTAAAGGTAATTTGTGTACATTTTACTTAAATTAATTGCAGCTTTTCCTTGCTAGGCAGTAAGGTTTTAATACTCCCTCTTCTGCCAGTTTAGGCATGTAATTTTGGAAATAAAAATCCTTTCTTTCTGGAATACTTCAGAAGGAGTTACACCTCAGTGTCCAGTAAATGTGTGTATTTCTAGGGAAATACAGCCCAGAAGGGAGTATTCCCAGAGTCCACTGGGCCTAGAGACCCAGTTCGTGCTAATTATGCACCACCTTGACTGTGATTTGAAGCAAGTTACTGTTTGTCCTGTGAGTCTCGATTTCTTCAACTAAAGAGTGAAGGGCAGAAGGAGCACTGAGGAGCCTGGACCTCTGGGTCCCAGCAGTACTGGGCACCTCCACGAGCTCTCACTCTGTCTGCTGGTGGGCGTGGGACCTGTCCCCAGAGGGTGCCTGGTCGTGGGGTGGGACTAAACCGGACCGCTGACGCTCCCGAGCTCCGTGTGCACTCTCTTTCCCTGCCTTTCTCCCTTTCTCCCTCTCTCAGCTTTGAATATTGAGTGATTTCATGTAGTTTATAACGATTATGTATCTTAATTTTAAAAGCAAGTGTCTAAGTGGATGTTTTTCTTCCAGGGAATCAGAGGCAATTATACCAAACATCTTTTTCTTCCTGGTATTGCTGTCTTACGAACGCTATCATTCAAAACAGATCATCGGGATTCCTAAAATCATTCAGCTCTGTGACGGCATCATGGCCAGTGGGAGGAAGGCTGTGACACATGGTAACAGACAAACCTTTCTCTGCGGTCCTCGTGGCCATGGTGTGCCCAGCCATGCTGGTGTTCGCTGCAGCAGCTTCCAGCTGCCTGTACAACTGCTCTGTGCTTCGTAGGCTCTGTGTGTGCGTGTGCATGTGCACACTGGTTAGAGGCATTAAAGAAAAGGGGGGACGTGCTCTACAATCTCAGGAGTTCATACCCTGCCTGGGTGAAATATGAACATCAGTGAGATGTGAGGTTCAGATAGAGCCTGATGCAAATGATCCTATATATCCGTTTGGAACACAAAAATTTTAAATCCCAACCTGTGTAAGCCTTGTTAGGTCACATTAGGAGGTGCCCTTTGGCCTGATGCCAGAACTTCTGTTTGCCTGGCAATTTTATGGCAGCTAAATAAGGGCCATAGACAAGGGTCAGCTCTCAAGCAGCCCTTCCCGCCTATGGAGTGAGGGGTGCGGTTTTAAGAACAAGGTGTGAATCTTTCTTTGATCTTATGAAACTGGCCTTCCTGTACTTTCCCATTGCTTTCCCTCTGGCCCCACTGCCAGGAATCAGTAGGCTTTTGAGCTTTGGCAGGGGTGCCTCTGTAGATCTTTGCAAACTCTGGATGTGAGAGTGGCACTGCCAGACACTGCCTCTGTCCCATGTACTCGAAGTAGAGCAGACTACGGAGCTGTATGAGAGGTAGGGGTGTGGCACCACCTCTATTTCCATGTGATCTGAGAGTCACCTTTGCTGTGACCTTGCAAGGGCTGAAATCCATGCCTCAGTAAAAGTGCACATTCCTACATGTATAGACTTTGGGGTCCCTGGATACAGTTGCAAGTGCAAATGTCAAATAGAGGAATGACTGAGGTTTCCTGGGTTAGAGGATCTTTGGATAGAAAATGGATGGGCAGCCAAAGCCTGCTGCTTCCTACTGGAAAGCTTGGTCATCTGTGCAGAGTCAGCAAGTGTGCTCTGTGTGTGTCACTAGGGTGAGTGTGGTCTGAGTGCCCCCACCTGCATGTCCTTAGGGTGAGTGTGCCCACATGAGTGTGTGCTGTCACCACAGTGAGGCGGTGTGCCTCTCCATGACCTTGGTAGCATGACTGGGCTGCTCCCTTCCCAGTGTGAGGTGTCTTAGTTTTCCATCTGGCGGTGTTAGAATAAAGAATTTACTTTGCTCTTCTGGAATAAGATTCGGGGTAACCTTTATCTAATGAGAGAGTGAATTCATTGCTTAAAGCAGCATAGAAACCTAATACTTGGACTAAACACCTTCTGTTGAAGAAGAATTTGCTGTCTTTTTAGGTAAACCTTTACACAGGTTATGCATAAGAATAGAGTGTTGCTGTTTTAGTTGGAAGGTTTTATTATTTGGAATTTCTTGAATTTATGTTTCTATGTCAGAAGTGGTTAAGTCACAGAAACTGTAGCTTTTTTTTTTTTTAAGGATTCACAGAATTATCAATCAGTGTCAGGAAGACGCATGGCCTTCCATGATGGTCACTGATAATCGCACAGCACTTGCTGAGAGCTTGATTTTGTCTTCCTATCAGAAAACGAGTATGGATTAAAGTTTTCTGCATTTCTTAAAAATATTTTGGAGGTGTCAAGCACTGTCTTCCTTGTGTTAAGTGTTCTGTGCCACCACCACAGCATGCCTTCTGCCCCACAGCCATACCAGCTCTGCAGCCCATTGTCCACGACCTCTTTGTCTTAAGAGGAGCCAACAAAGCTGATGCGGGAAAAGAGCTTGAAACCCAGAAAGAGGTGGTAGTGTCCATGTTGCTGAGACTCATCCAGTACCATCAGGTAAGAGGAGGCGTGGGAAGGTCACTGGCATGCCCTTGTCCCTGCAGGGACAGAAGGAGATGCCACATGGCCCCTCTCGATGTGAGCCGCGGGTGCTGCTTTGGGTCAGCCCAGGGCTCTCTGGTGCGGCACCTGCCCGGAGTCAGGCGGCTTGGCAGGGATCTCTTCACAGCAGTACAGCCATGAGGGGAGGCCACCTGACACCTGGCTAACAGTCACAAGATCATTCAAGGCAGTAAATACAGTCGAGGTCCTCCTTTCCAAAACAGGGACCAAAAATCAATTAATTGGCAGTGTTGATCAAAATGATAGAATTCTAAAAATGATTTTAAAGATCTCAGGTCTGAATAATTCAAGGACTTTATTTCTGTGTTGGTTTACCATGATGTTGACATAGGGCCAAGGTCTTTTTTCTTTGAGCTAATTCTGGTTTTGTCACCCGTCAGGTGGAGTGAGGATGCCAGAGTCTGAGTGCGGCCACCTGGCTGGTCACGACTCCTCTGTTAGCTGCCCTCACTGCTTTATATTCTTTATGGCTCATAGAAGTACTTTCTTTGTGCATTGTCATTTTGATCGATGTAATATTTAATTAAATGGTGTTATTTAATTAAATCCCATAATTACAATAAAAAGTACAACTGCCCTAAAGAGGTTTGAGAACCAGTGACTGAGCCTCGGCCAGCATGTTGGGTTGGTGGGGGGCTGGAGTGCAGCTTATGAGCCACATGCTTTCCAGGAGTTCTCTGCCTGGTTTACGAGAGCTCGTCTTGCTAAGGAGTCAGAACAAGGGCGGATTTCCTTCACGCAGCAGAGCGCTGCCACATCCTGCCAGGAGAGGCAGTCAGGGCAGGCTTCATAGGGTGCGGGCCTAGACTGGTGTGTCTCTTTCTTTATAGCCATTATATTTAATATCCAGGTCAGCAAGCTTTTCTGTAAACAAGCAGACAATATCTTAAGCTTTGCAGGCCATGTGGCATCTGCTGCAACAACTCATGTCTACTGTTGTGATGAAAGCAGCCCTAGTCAGTATTGTGATGAAGGGGTATAGGTGTGTACCAATAAAACTTTATTTACAAAAACAGGCTTTTAGATACCTCTGTTTAAAGATGATCACTAATAAACTGAAGCTCAACCATGTGTAGCTCTTCTGAAAGTGAGTACTACGCTGCAGATGGCCTTTATAAGGAAAACAGCATTGAAAGTAGCACATGGAACTCACAGGGCATCTGCAGAATAGTTTAGTCAAGGCCATGATGGTGTTTTGCCAAAGGTTATTATACATTTGGGTTTCTTCTCATGCCTTTTCTCTGATTGTAGGACCTTGTACGTTCCATAGCCATGACAACAGAGCATCATGCAGAGTGTGCGCTGCTGGGTGCCCCAAGGCATTTCGACCCATGACCCCTGCCTTTTCTTATGACTTCCCCATGGAATCTGTGTCTAGGCCCGGGTGCTTCCACTTCATCGGAGCCTCATTGGGGCCATGCTTGTTTGGACCCTGAGGTCTTCCAGCTGAGCTGGGATCAGCACAAGGTGGTGGGGTGGCAGTGAAGAGGTGGGGCGGCTAGGGACCCTGTAACATGCCCTGTGCCCCCTTCAGGTGCTGGAGATGTTCATCCTGGTGCTGCAGCAGTGCCACAGGGAGAATGAGGACAAGTGGAAACGGCTGTCTCGGCAAGTAGCCGACATCATCCTCCCAATGTTAGCCAAACAGCAGGTGAGTACCCGTCTGCCTCGTGGTGGCAGGTCAGGGGGCACAGACCCTGTGAGAGGCAGGCGTTTGTGATCAGCTGCTCATTGAACCATAGTAGACTCCCATTGTGATAGACATCAGGGCCACTCGTGAGCAAGGGACTTTTCATTTATTCTCAGCAACCCTTTCAGGTCGCTGTTGTCTCCCACTTTATGAGATTGGCACCTGAGGCTCAGAGGTGTCATCTAGGCTACCCAGCGACACAGAGCGGGAAGGTGTCAGGCCTGGGGTTGAGTCCATCTGACCCAGAGCTTATGTTCTTCCCTGTTTTACTACACAGACCCCTTGTTCTGGTCAGTCAGGTGTTTTTATCTTCAGGTGTTCGTCTTTACCTGTCACTTATGAATTAGTAGTGAGTGAGCAGTTGCACCCTGTGTAATCAGTTTCCATAATCAGATGATATGACTCGCTGCTTCTGCAAGTGCAGAGGAAGGACACGGTCTGGCTGTGCCATGTGGGATGGAGCTCTGCAGTCCATGGCTGCTGAGCCATGTCTGCCCCCCGTCAGAGGGCAGGATTCTGCACGCATTGCAGTGACACCTTAGTAATCAGGCTACAGCTCCAAGGGCTGCAGGGGTGTGCTGCAGACACCCCCACCCCTCCTTGGGGCCTCACCAGCTGTTGGCCAAGCTCTGGCCTAAGGAGCATCAGATGCAGTCAGCAGATACCTGTTTGTTCATCTTGCTCATCCTGGCTCAGGAAGCAAGTGTTCTGGGTAACACAGGGCTCACAGCTCTTGTGGCACTAGGAGGAATGTGTGGGCACATGCATCAGTAGTTAGTGTCTTCAGAACTTTAGTCCCTTTTGGGTTTGTAATGGACGTGTCATCCTGAGGCCACTTAGGCAGAGGGGGTCTTGGCTTCTGGTGAGACTGACCGATGGCAGTTTTAATAAACTGGTAAATTTGGTGTTTTACTGTAAGCATGGATTCAATGCCTGTGGAAAGATATTTTTAGATAGCCATTTCCAAAAGCATTATTCATTCTCATATACATAATCTGAGGAGAGTGGAGGTTGAAGGCGGAAATGCATAGTCAATGCCCAACTTAGTTTCTGCTATATGACATGGCATGAAAGGACATCTGTAGAACACTTGGCACAGTGCCTGCCAGGTGGCCAGGCATGGGTGCATGTTACACTCAGAAGTAGTGCAAGGCACCTCTCCCGATGCTGGCAGTGGGCATATGTCTTGCCAATGGGATTCAGCTCCAGACAAGTTCACTATGGTTTCAATGAGACCAAAAAATAACAATGGAACGTTCTTGGGGTGAAAGGGTTTATACCCAACTTTATTCCCACAGTGGCAGGTCAGTTATTAGAATCCCATCCACTCAGAGCAAATCTGCACGTAGCAAGCCGGTCTCTGCCTCTGGACCTCTCTCTCTACCCCCACAGCCGTCCCAGTCTCTGCTCTCCTGCAGCCTTGCAGCCATGCCACCATGTCGCCCAGAGCACTGGGCAGAGCTCTTTATATAGAGTCAGTAGCAACGTATTGCCCACACATGTGCAGTGAGCCAGCCGACCAGGGCCAGGTGGGAATCCTGGGCACAGGAACCTTCACTGTATCCACAGCACAACAGTGAGCAGAGCCAGTAAAAACACTGCCTCTTGGAGTGGAAGTTCTCTTAGGATGGGGGTGGAGGAGCCAGATGGACTCCAGAGCTGGGTGTCAGCCCTGGCCAGGGACACAGTGGTGCCTCCAGAGTGCCCGGAGAGAGGCTGAGCTGGTAGGCGCAGGTGCGGGTCCAGGAGGAAGGCGTTCTGGGAGCTCAGTAGTTCCCCCATTTCTCCCTTACTACTAAGGCATGACTCAGCACTGCCTGGTGGTCACATATGTACTTGGACACATCACCTATCTTTGCAGATGTTTCCCATGTGTATGCACACTCCTTAGTTGTGACTAGAACTGGAAACTGTCCCTCATCAGCAGGGGAGTGGTTGAATACATTGGAGTAGAGACCTAGGTTGGAATCTTTTGTATCCATTAAAAATGTTAGATTTTAAAACCTGTTGCCTTGGGAGCTCTCCATTTATTTATTCATTTATTAAGGGAAAAAGGAAACATTTATAATGTGGTATTTCCAAAACAGTTAAAAAACTTCTCCACATATATGTGGATATATGGTCATAGGAATGTGGAGAAAGTTAAGAGAAATACACCAGTTTGTTAACATTCGTGTTAACTAATTGGTGGCGTAGGGATGGAGAGCAGGTAAAGCAAAAAATGAAAAAGAATAGTGTGTATGATACCACTTCTAGGTAAATTTTGTATTTATAAAGAGATGCGTGTGAGTGTTAATCTTAAAAATAGTTGGTTATTTTTCCAGCAAAAACAGCTTTACTCAGGAACAGCAAAGAATTGCATTCCAGGACATACGAGCTCCAGCAAAACCACAGAGGAGAGAAGGCTCTTTTATAGGGAAAGAGCTGGGTCAAGCGGGTGGGATGGGGGTAATCTTCTAAGGAAAAAGCCCATTGGAGGAAACTGGAGTCTCTGTGTTGTGGCTGCTCATTGGCTGAGTGGCGGCAGTCTCCCATTGGCTGTTGCTGGGGGAGGCAGAAACCTTCCTTCCTCCAGCCTGGTAGGAAAGTAGCTAAAACAGCGTGACCTGCAAGGTGTCCTGTGTTCCTCACGGGGCGGGGCTGTGATTGAGGAGGAGAGGTGGGTGTAGGTGCTTCCCCTGTTGGCTTGCTGACCCCACTTTATGTGGTTTCCCTTAGTTTTCACGTTTTCCCCTTTTGATCAAGATCTTTCCATGAAAACATTACTGATCAGGAGTCCAGTTTTCTGTGTTTAGTAGCTTTCATACTTTGGAGCCAGGAAGAACCTTTCCTGGTTGTCATGTCCTGAGTCCGAAGGGAAGTGCAGAGTAGTCGGGAAACAAGGCCACATTTGAGTAACAAGGAAGGTCAGGAGGAAGAATTCTCAGGCACTTCCTACCTATAGTGCATATTTATGAAGGCAGTAAGCACTGGAGATCACCGTATTACTGGATGCATCACTTTTACAAAAGTTTGATAGGCAACAAAATACAAAACTTAAAATAATTATATGAATAAGAAGAAGTAACATGAGAATGCCAAAGTGCATGATGGCCCTAAACCAGGACCTAAGGCTGGAAGTAGCCAATGAAAAATACTTATTTTTCTGACTTAGGGTTAGACAAGTCCTTATGGAGGCAAACCCATTTTTAGTTCCATCTCCACTGGAGGTAAGGAAGCCACTTTTCCCCTGTAACAGCCCAAAGTCGTGAGCTACCTCCGAGGCACATAATGTCGGAATGAGTGTTTGCAGTTTTACCCTTGGCTTAAGGTACAAGCTCAAGTAAGGACACAAAACTCATCCTGTTGGGCCAAGATAGCTGAAGGTAGAGGTGCTGCCTCCGTGACTTCAACAGGAGCTGCGAGCGCCCACCCAGCACCATGTTTTCATGTCCATCCTTTAAGTAAGGACCATCAGTAAACCATGAAAAGTCTGCGCTGGTTCGGGGAGTTTCCTTTAAATTGTCACGTGGAGTCCAAAGGTGGTCTGTCAGCATGGGTGGTCAGGAGGAGTTTGTCCGTGAAGGAGGGTAGAAGAGCAGCAGGGTAAGGTTGCTGCAGTGGGAGGAGCTACGTGGGGAGCAGATACAAAAGCACCTCACAGGAGGTGGGACGGCAGGCTGGCGACAGCTGAGTGTGGTGAGAATTTGGGAGGGCTTTACTGCATGAGGCACAGATGGTTAAGGGGACCCCACACCTACTCTTCAGCCGCCTTAACCAAGAGGGCAGTGGCAGCAAAGGCTCTGATGCAAGGGGGTATCCCCCAGCCTCAGAGACCACTTGTTGGCTGTGACACCCCATGGATCAGTGATGGTCCTGTGCTTTTGGGTGAGTGCACTGAGGACACTCTCTTTGCTCTACAGACTGGAAGGAAAATGGCAAGTTGATAAGTAAGAAGGGCAGGGAGCTTTATTAGGCTTTTCTTTAACGTCACAAAGGCCATGTCATCCTGGCTGTGATCCTTCTAGACAGTAGGGTCAAGTTTGTTGTTTTTTAGTAAAGCACAGAGGCTGAGCTGTAAGAGAAGTTTGGAACCCAAGTTCAACAGTAGCCCGTCATTCCAAGGAAGCTTCATAATTGGTACTTAGGTTTGGGGACGTTCAGGAGGCCTCGATGTTACCTGGATCCAACTGTTGTCCTTGTGAGATCAGATGCCCCAAGTATTGAACAAGAGTTTGAGCAAACTGCAATTTTTCTTTGGAGATTTTATGTCCCTTTAAGGCCAAAGGTTTTAGCAGATAGATGCCAGCTTCCTGTGAAGAAGTTTGAAAAGGGGAACAGGAAGCAGGTCATCTGTGTAGTGTAACAGGATGTGGCATGCAGGAACCTTTTTACCATCCAAATCAGCCCCAAGGTTTGTAAGAATAAGACGGCCTCTCTGGGTGACCTGGGACATTGCCGTCCAGGTATGTGGTCATTCTTTCCAAGTGAAAGCACAAAGATACTGGCTGTCCTTATCAACTGGATTGCCAAAAAAATAACTACATATATCAAGTACAGCGAATTTGTTTTCCAGTGGAATGGATGCCAGCAGCTTACGGGGGTGGGAACAACAGGGTGCTGAGGGATAACAATATTATTTATTGCTCAGAGGTCCTAGACAAACCTCCATCCTCAACCATTAGGTTTTCTCACATGTAAAATAGGGGCATCACAGGGTCTAGTGCATGGAATAATGAGGCCCTGAACCTTGCAATCATCTATTTTTGGCTTAATGCCTTAAAGGACTTCTCTATTTATCGGATATTGATTAATTCTGGGGAGAGGTTTTGAGGGATCTTTTTGAATCTGGATGCATTGTGGATTCTGCCAATGTCAGTTGGTGATTTTCCCATAGGGTTGGATGGTAGTGATCCTATAGGAAGAAATGATCAGTGTCCCCAGACTGTAGTGCCATCAGAGATGGAGCAAATAAAAGTTGT